TCTTTGAATCAATTTAACTAAGTATCTTCTTAACTTTTAATTTATTTTTTGTCATTGCTTATACATTTCCTTTTGGCAAACATGACACTTCTGCATCGTTACGATTATTTATCATTAAAGTTTACGAGTACGCATGTAGAGTCAGCATAATTTGTTTTTACAAAAAAAAAGTTCAGCAGTTCCGAAAAGCGATCTGATACCCTTTTATCTAACGATATCACCAAGTTGGTAAATCTAACGACGTTAACTTACAAAAGTCAGAAATCAAATTATCTAACACGCTATATCTAAGCAGTATTATCTTAACCGAAGGAGTCCTGGTAAAAAATGGTTGAGGACCCCAGGACCCACTATTATCTCTGAACACCGAAGTCATTTTAGCTATAATAAGATAACATTAAAGGAAGACGGAGCAGGGGTGCTCAAACTTCTAACGGGGAAGATGATTCTGAAGAAAACAATGACTATACCTACCAAAAGTGTAATTGCTTTAAGCGACTTGAAAATATAAGATTCAGTATGAAAGAATTTTAAGATTAAAGATTAATTAATTCAAAAATTATAACTAGTTTGTATGTAGTAAAATGCGTTGCGTTGATAAACGTGTATTTTTTTTAATAATAGGAGCGGTATGTACTCCATTACCAATTTTAAATGACTTTATTTTGGTCTACAGCCTTCAGCTGATGGTTTAGCTGATATACTCGTATCACACTATAAAAGGATATAGATTAAAAATTTTAATCAAAATTAATGAAACATCAAAGTTTGGGAAGGATCCCCCCCTCAGAGCGTGTCAGCGGACCTGCGCTCTCGAAACAGGTATAGTTTTTTCCTTTTCGTTTTTGCGCGCGCGCACGTGTGCGGAGATTCCTTAATTACCGACGCATACCATAAACAGATCTTTACGCTCCCTTAAATAAATCTTCGAAACCGTTTTTTTTTGTTTTCTTAGGCAGTAATTTCGTAGCATGGTTTTCGGTTTACCAAGACGCGAACGGACCGATTCTACTTGATCGATGATGATGCTTTGTTTTTACAGGTTTAAAAGATTTGCTGCACGAGATGCGCCTTACGCCCTATTTGGTTAAGGGCGGTTATGGGATTGAGGATCTAAATCGATTAGAGCTTACAGTTACGCACGCGTAATTGGAAGCTTGCGCAAAATTTACGAAAAAATGAAGAACTCCAAGTCATTATAGAGGTTTTATTTTAAATATTGATGAAACAATTCACTGATTTCACGCTATCATCAAAGGGATTCTTATTGAAAGCATTCATTTATTGTCATAAAAAAGCGCTTCATCACGCGCCGCTTTATTGTAGTTATTCTAAACCCAAAGGTTTAATTTGAAATCCCAACTAATATTATAAATGCGAAAGTAACTCTGTCTGTCTGTCTGTCTGTCTGTCTGTCTGTCTGTCTGTCTGTCTGTTACGCTTTCCCGCTTAAACCTCGCAACCGATTTTGATGAAATTTGGCATAGAGATAGTTTGAGTCCCGGGAAAGANTCTGTCTGTCTGTCTGTCTGTCTGTCTGTCTGTCTGTTACGCTTTCCCGCTTAAACCTCGCAACCGATTTTGATGAAATTTGGCATAGAGATAGTTTGAGTCCCGGGAAAGAACATAGGATAGTTTTTATCCCGGTTTTTGAAACAGGGACGCGCGCGATAAAGTTTTTCTGTGACAGACAAAATTCCACGCGGGCGAAGCCGCGGGCGGAAAGCTAGTACATAATAAAGAGAACTTGTATTTATCGTACATAATATATGCATAAGAACTAAGAGCGCTTTCACATTAGAGCGTTAGTAGCGCGACTGCAGCGCGACAACGGCGTTTTTATAATGTGAAGGCATGCATTTGCTGTCACATAGTATGATTTTTTTGGCAGCACGTCAGTCGCGCGTTTGTCGCGCTGCTAAATCACCTAAATGTAAAAGCACTCTTAGGTTTAGTCAAGGGAGTTATCTCAAATGCGTATTTAAATACCGAGGAGGATATAATCGCGATTTGATAGTCAAGGGCATGGCCGCGCCCCGTCAGATAAGATGCCTGTTTTTATAGTTGTGCTAAGCGATATTTTATTATCAAAAGCGATAAAACGCATCCTTGGTCAGGGCTGCCGTCTTTCGAAGAATAATTTTAATCGTTTTTGTCAATTAAACTCAGCTAATTCTAATAAAATTGCCATTGGACGGAATCAAATGTTTTACAATTTGGTTTTTCACGAATGATCAGTCCAAGTTGTGTGAATAATCGAACTTGAAGTGCACTTGCGTTTTCAGTCTCAACAGATATTTTTAATTTTTTGGAAAGAAAAAGCTACATTGAGCTTGGTTTGTATCCGATTACACTTACCTAAATGATAATCATTGCATTCATAAGGTACTATAGCTTAAGATCTATAATAAGTAATTGGGGACAGCCCTGTGTTGATCCTAAAATTTATCTCGATGAATCTTTTTTACTTGGCACTTTATCACTATTATTTAGGGTCGCGATAAAGGCTGCGCCCGCGCCGAGAGGGTTAACATTTCGTAGGTTGAGAGGTTAATTTAGTGGTGACATTAGAAGGATTATATTGGAGTTAAGAATTTAATTTGAGCACAGAGAAGATTTTACCAGAACAAATATTACTTTATTCGATATCCAAGAAGAAAATAAGAAGGAATAAAAATTCAAAGGACTACTTTCGCTATAATAACACGTTAATATTTTAAATTAGCGTCATGTAATAATTTAAAATAATTAAAATTAGAAACATTTACACAGCCAATCACGTTTACTGTTTAAGTGTAGGTATATAAAAGTAATAAATAGTAAAATTAATGAACGGCAATAAGTAAGGCTCTCCATAAGTGGACCCGCACATAATTGTAGAGACCGCACGGGCCGAAACTTTTTAGAGATCGGCAAAAAAGTAAGCTCATTTTCCAAAAAAAATATTTAACTATTAGAATGCTTACAATGCGATATTGCTAACTTAGTTAACGAAAGAAAATTAAGTACATATTTGAAAATATTAAAAATATTTATTTTGTCTCAAGTGCCTCCAAATTCTATCCTAAAATTGTACGTAGCAAATGGACTTAACTTCTTACAATCGAAGCCATCCATTAATTGAGATCAAACGTCAATTTTTTTCTTGTTTCTACTTTACTTTTTGTGCCGAGATCAAGCTAGTTTACCTTGTAAAATAATGACAATAAAGAATAAAGAACCATCTCCACAAGGAAGTGCACACACTTGCCTCTTTTTTCACTCGGCCGCCATAATTTACTGTCATTAGGCCAAATCAACGCGAACGATGCCAATCATCGATAATTAGGTGTTCCGGGCTACGTTAGCGCAAAAAGGTGTTATATTCGGTGCGCAGACCACTTGCTTTATAGACGTCTAATATAGCCTTATAAAGGCTGAATTACCGCCATTGGTAATTCAGTAGAAATAAGGTTCGTTCGTTTCAGCCAAATGACGTCCACTGCTGGACAAAGGCCTCCTCCAAGGTTTTCCACAATGCCCGCATCCAGGCTCTTCCCGCGACCTTTAACAGATTGTCGGTCCACCTAGTAGGAGGCCTGCCCACGCTACGTCTTCCGTCTTTTACGACTTAAGAATTACTTTCTTATTAGTAAATATTCAGTTCCTATTGTCAGTAGAAAACGGGCTTTTCATACCTAACCAAATATCTAACAGTTGTTAAATACCTAGCTTGTATCAAAGAAATATTGTTTCAATGTCGCTTGAAACATTTTTTTCTATAAAGGAAAAAGAAAATATTATTCCGAGCGAAGTTGAAAGCTAAGAATTTTATAGGGAAAGCTTTTCCTTGGAAGATTTTCTATTTTAGTACAGCGATGATATATTTCAGTAAATCAAGCGAAGTCTATACGACAAATTTTTCTGCAATGCAGGATTTAAACACTTTTGAGTACTAAAGTCTCATGAGGAATCATTTGCGGAGGACATTACTTAATGGCCCTCCTCAAAGGGCTAACGAGGGCATTACCTTGGCTTCCTGTTCACGAAATATAGTGTCGTGATGAAAACATCACTCTTTTCAGGTTGCGGTGTGGCAACAATTTACAAACTAAGAATTAAATCTTTTGCAAATTGCTATTATTATACAAGCTCCATTTAGGAGTAAAATGAGCCTTATAATCAGCGGGTTTCATGTCATTATCTTTAAAAATACATTTTAAGTGTGACCCTAAATACACCTACCTCGTACGAGTGTCTATCATATTGAACTTAACAAGTGCTTACAAATAATACTTAAGTACATACTAGTAAATTGCTTGTTTTTGCACAAAAACTTAACTTGTACTTCAAACTGTTTTAGTAACTAAGTTCAGTGCTAACTTAATAATAAAAATAACTAACAAAAATGAAATCTTTTTTGCATTATTAACCGGGTGGTTATTTCGGTTAATCGTTAACCCATTTCAACCGATTGATTGTCAGTTAACTGGTGGTTAAAGCGAAATTTCGACCATCACAACAAAAGGGTTGTTTCACTAAATCACCCTTAACTGATGTGTTAATTTTGGGCCCAACGATTTTGTGGTTAACGACTTTTGAATTTTGAATACCTATAAAAAAGTAATCGTAGGAACTGCTTTGTAACAAATTTGTAGCCATTTAGTGACCTAATTATGTAAAGTAAAACGATTAGAGTTACCTTATGGTCATTAAGTCAAAACCACATAATGAGGAAGATNAGGCCCTTAAGGTGTCAAGGCGTTCGAGTCCCCTATAGTACAAGCGTGTTAGAATTTTTATCACCACTGATTTCGATATCGCAGTAACTGTTACGGCACTGAATTCGTTCGTAAAAATGTTTAGTTTTTTTTATTTATGTAATGTAGGTCTTCTTATTATCAAAATAATGAAGGTAATTCAACATTTTAAAATGTATCTGCCATTTTCTACACTGCTCCGTAGCTGACCTACATACATATTTCTCAGTGGCGACAAAGGAACTTACGTGTGCATTTACGATGCCTATCGGGAAAATAAAGGAGTTTGATGTGCATAAGGACGATTGGAAACTGTATATCGAACGAGTGGAACAATATTTTGTGGTAAATGAAGTGTCGGACGTGCCTACGTTAATAACGGTCATGGGGACAGAAAGTTACGAGTTGTTAGTGAACTTGTGTACGCCAGTGAAACCTAAAGATAAAACTTTTGGTGAAATCGTGGACATTATGGAGAAACATTTACAACCAAAACCTAGTGAATTGGCGGAAAGATACAAATTTAGACATCGTACACAAAAAAAGGGCGAGGGTATTTCGGAATACGTAGCAGTGCTGAAAAAAATGTCTAAATCGTGTGACTTCGGCAGCTGGCTTCAAGAAAGTTTACGGGATCAGCTCGTATGTGGTATCAGCAGTGAAAGCATTCGACAACGACTATTCGCAGAGTCCAAACTAGATTTCGCGAAGGCGTACAGTATTGCCGTTAGCATGGAAGCGGCAGAAAAAGACGCGGCCGCAGTAGAAGGTCATAGGTCACCGAGCGAAACCACCGTGGAATGCCAGGCGATGTCGGCGGGAACGAGATGGCGCGGCGCAACGGCGGCGGCCACTCCGGGACGCGACTACGGCGGGTCGGCACGGCAGGGCGGCGGCGGCGCGCAGCGCTTCAGGGGCGCGCGCGCAGCGACCGCGCCCGGGCCCACCCGGTCGGGTGAGCGGGCGCAGCGAGGCCAATCGTGCGGTGTGTGTGGAGGCTCACATGACGCTTCGAGTTGCAAATTTCGGCGTTACGTCTGTCGTGTTTGTAATCGACCTGGGCATTTGAAACGCATGTGCCCTAAGATAACGGACCAACACTGTTTGCAGACCGACCGTAATGAAGATAGTAGTGAAAGTGACAATAGTGAAGAGGTAATTTTTATAGACTTTAATAAAATAACCTTAAATGATTGCAAACCAATATTAATTTCACTCATAATCGATAATAGGTCAGTTAACATGGAATGTGATACAGGGAGTGCCGTATCTTGCATTAGCCAGGAAATGTATTTTAAAAAATTTAGCCATTTAAAAATAAAACCTTGTAATTTAGTTTTGAGATATTACACGGGGGAAACAGTAAAACCAATCGGAATGTTACAGCCATGTGTAAAGTATAAAAACTGTACAAAAAAATTAGATTTGTATGTAATTAAAAATGGCAAAACGGCTTTAGTGGGAAGACAATGGCTCGCTGAATTAAATATTCAGTTGCCCAAATTTGAATATAGTGCCTTGAATGTATTGAGCGGGGAGTCATTGTTGTCCGATCTCAGTTCCAGATTCTGTGACGTGTTTGCGGACGGCCTGGGCCGGTACACGGGCGGGCCGGTGCGCATCCACGTGCGCGAGGGCGCGCGGCCCGTGTTCCTGCGCGCGCGGCCGCTGGCGTACGCGCTGCGCGCGCCGGTGGAGCGCGCGCTGGAACAGCACGTGCGGGACGGCATCCTCACCCCCGTCGAGCGCTCCGACTGGGCGACTCCCATCGTCCCAGTTGTGAAGAAGGACGGTAATATCAGGATTTGCGCCGATTACAAAACAACGTTAAATAAAGTCATAGAAATTGACCGTTATCCATTACCGAGGGTGGAAGACTTATTAGTGCGATTGCATGGGGGTCAGCGCTTTAGTAAAATAGATTTATCCCAAGCGTATGCGCAATTAGAGCTAGATGATTCTAAGAAATACACTGTTATTAACACACATAAGGGCCTATTTGTATACAATCGTTTGGTATACGGCTTAGCGTCGAGTCCGGGCATATTTCAAAGACGGTTAGAGGAAATGTTTGCAGACTTACCTTGTGTGGGGGTATTCTTAGACGATATAATAATAACGGGTAAAACCACAGTCGAGCATACAGATAATTTATTTAAAGTATTTGAGCGTTTGCAAAAATATGGTCTTAGAGTAAAGAAAGAGAAATGTGAGTTTTTCACTGAATCTATTAGCTATCTCGGTCATGTCATAAGCAAGGACGGAGTGCATACTTGTCCAAACAAGATAAAAGCGATTTTAAAAGCGATGATGATAGACGGTGCAGGTGTATTACATACACCTGCACCGTCTAATGTGTCCGAATTGCGATCGTTTATAGGAATGATCATGTACTATGCCAAATTTGTACCCAATGTAAGCACATTACTAGCACCATTATATAATTTACTAAAAATCGGTGTTAAATACGTATGGGGTGAGCAGTGTCAAAGAGCATTCGAGGAGCTCAAGAGTAGGTTGGTCAGCAGCGAAGTGTTGTGCCACTACTCGGCGGAGCTGCCGCTGGTGCTGACGGCGGACGCGAGCAGCGTGGGCGTGGGCGCCGTGCTGGCGCACGCCACGCCGACCGGCGAGCGGCCCGTCGCCTACGCCTCGCGCTCGCTCACGGCCGCGGAGCGCCACTACGCGCAGATCGACAGGGAGGCACTCGCTATAGTATTTGCTGTACGTAAATTTCACCAGTATTTGTATGGAAGGCGCTTTGTACTGAGAACTGATCACAAACCGTTAACTTATATATATATTGGGAGATAAAGTAGGTATACCGGTGATGGCGGCATCGCGTCTACAACGCTGGGCTGTTCTTCTATCAGGGTATCAGTACGATATGGAATATGTTCCCTCTAAGAAAAATTGCGCCGACGCGTTATCGCGATTACCACCGAATTTAGGTAAACGAAACACGAATAATATTTCCGTTGAAGAAATTACTTATAGTAATTTTGTAGAAATTTTTTTGCCAGTAACTAATGAGGACGTCAGGAAAGCTACCGCCACAGATAAAACACTGGCTAGGGTTAAGGTTTACATTGAGTCTGGTTGGCCATCGTCTTGTCCAGAGGAAACAATTAATCCGTATACAAGACGTAACGAATTATATTTAGACAATGGATGTGTAATGTGGGGATATAGAATGATAATTCCCGAGTCGTTAAAATTAATTGTACTAAAACAACTTCACATTAGAGTCACATCAGTCACATGGGTATTGTCAAAACGAAAGGTTTAGCTAGGAGTTACGTCTGGTGGCCGGGCATCGACCGCGACGTGGAGGAGGCCTGCCGCGCCTGCGACACGTGCGCGCGGGAGGCGGCGGCGCCGGCGCGCGCCTCTCCGAGCCCGTGGCCGTACGCGCCCCAGCCGTGGACACGTCTTCATATCGACTTTTTAGGGCCATATAGAGGGTTGTCGTACTTAGTATTGATCGATTCGAGTTCGAAGTGGCACGAAGCTTTCGAAATGAAACAGAAAACGGCGGCCAGTGTCATTAAAACGCTTCGAAGTACTTTTGCCCGATTCGGTCTACCTGTTGAACTGGTGTCAGACCAAGGTCCACCGTTCACTAGCCTTGAGTATGAAGTATTTTTGAAAAATAATGGGATCAGACAATCATTTTCACCCGCTTATCATCCGTCATCAAACGGGGCGGCTGAAAATGCGGTTAAATTGTGCAAGCGGGCAATAAAGAAAGCATTACGAGATAATGTCGATGTTGATGCTGCTCTTCAAACGTTTTTGTTAACATATAGGAATTCCATACATAGTACTACTGGTGAAACTCCCGCTAAATTATTGCAAAAACGTCAATTACGCTCGAGGTTCGACATATTACGCGGTCATTACGATGTAGAAGACCGAGTAAGACGAGCACAAGAGAATCAAATAAAATTTTCAGGGGGTAGGGAGCGAAGTTTTCAAAACGGCGAAACCGTATGGGCCAGGGGTTTTGGAACGCAGGATAAATGGATCAAGGGAAAAATAGTTAACAGTGAAGGGTCGCGTAGGTACGTAGTGGGAAATGGAAATGGTCAATTTAAAAGGCACATAGATCAGATTCGGCGCAGGTCTCGATTATCGGACGTCCCATTCCATGAAGAGCCGGCTGAAAATCGCCAGAAAGGCGTGGAGGGGGATGCCGTCATGGCCGAAGCTGCGGTGGTGGATGGGAATAGAGATACTGTAGTAATAACGCGCGAAGAGGAAAAAGAGGTTGTTCAGTCATCGCAAACTCTTTCCCCGAAACCTGCACCCGCACCTACCGCAGAGTTTGCGGAGCCAGTCGCTTCCCAAACACCCCCGCAGACCGAGTCTAGATACTCTAAAAGAGTGCGCAAACCCGTGGTACGTTGGGGTTTTGAAATAGATTGATAAGTAGTTTACTCATAAAATAATTAAGCTGATCTTTTATTTATGTATGTTATTGGATATGTTTATATAAATGTAATATGTTTATAGTTATATATACAGGGTGTTAGGTAAATGGGTATATGAGCCGACACTAGCCCATGTTAACATGGCCATATAAATGGTATGGTGAAGTCAGAAATTTGATATCATCATTTTAATTTTTTAAATTTTCATACAAATCGGATTTTATAAAAGTTATTTTGTATGAAAATTACAAAAATTAAAATGATGATATCAAATTTCTGACTTCACCATACCATTTATATGACCATGTTAACATGGGCTAGTGTCGGCTCATANCGACACTAGCCCATGTTAACATGGCCATATAAATGGTATGGTGAAGTCAGAAATTTGATATCATCATTTTAATTTTTTAAATTTTCATACAAATCGGATTTTATAAAAGTTATTTTGTATGAAAATTACAAAAATTAAAATGATGATATCAAATTTCTGACTTCACCATACCATTTATATGACCATGTTAACATGGGCTAGTGTCGGCTCATATACCCATTTACCTAACACCCTGTATAGTCTATAGTTCCAACCTGTAAAATTCATTTAAATGTGTGTGAGCTCTATTTAGAGTGGAGGTGTAATGTAGGTCTTCTTATTATCAAAATAATGAAGGTAATTCAACATTTTAAAATGTATCTGCCATTTTCTACACTGCTCCGTAGCTGACCTACATACATATTTCTCAATTTATAAGCAAAATACCAATGGATTTGCAATACTTACATGTAGTAAATGACTCCATTGTTCCTGTAGTTCTTCGTTTCACTTGTTTTATTGCACGTAACGACGCATTATCCAAAATATCGGAGAACATTTCCTTAGTATCGGAGAACATTTCCTTAGTACGACTGAATCGCGACTAACCTAGCTACGCGGCCGATGTTCGTTTCTGGGCATATCGCGGAGACACGCGCCACGCCCCCGTTTCACATCTATTCCCTTCTAAGATCTGAGGCAGCAAGCAATGGAGAATGCAAACATACAATGGCATTCATTGGTTTTAAGGTTATATAGACGTAGTGAAGATCCCGCTTGTACCGAAGTAGCGTGCTATTGGAGGAAACCAAAACTGTTGCAAGTTGGATCTCAGCTAAAATTTATTAAAGTCAAAGATGTGAACTATACAAGGCAGTATCAAAAATATATGTGTCAGTAGTACTACCACCATAACCATCTGACACAAATTTGATCAGTCCATCGGGCTTGATGATTTTTTTGTTCACTTTAAAAAGTTATTTGTATACACTTTGTAACTTTCTATGGCATCAGTGTACGATGATGAATAGGAAGTACAGTCTATTTTGTCACAGTTAAAACTGGTTTCTAACTCTATCGAGGGTCGACAACGTTTTTCCTGATTTTTATAGTTTGAGTCTGTTACGTCTTTCTTTTTCTGTTCTACTTGAATCTTCGTATCTCTCGTCTTTATTTCTATTGCAGATAACTCTATTCGGCGTACTACGCTACGTGCCCTGCCCATTGCCATTTCAGCTTGCTAATCCGTCGGGCTATGTCAGCGACTTTAGTTCTTTTACGAATCTCCTCATTTCTGATTTGATCTTGTAAAGAAAAACCGAGCATAACCATTTCCTTAGCACGCTGTGCAATTTTTAACTTCTTTATGAGGCCTATAGTGAGAAGCCACGTTTAATTTTTTATTTTTTTATTTTATTTTTTAGACAGTCGAAGCCATATGTCATCACTGGTGACACACATAGATTTATAGACTTTCGTCTTAAGGCATTGAGGTATTTTAGACGAAAAGATGATAATGTAGCTGCCCAGCCGAGTTGACCGTTTTCTCCAAATTGGATCTACCTATATTACCTATATTGGATACCTGGCATTAAGTCCGCCACTGTACAGTTGTATGTGCAAAAGTATAAATAAATAAAAAAAATAGCTGAATCGTTTGTCTAAGGTAGACAATACTTGTCAACAATCTCGAGAATCAAGCTCCTAAACGAAACTGAGTAGGGCGCAGTTCGACATAAGCTTCGTTTTGTTCGTATTCATCCCAATGCCTACTTGTTCCGAAATTCGATTAAGGACTTTGAGCATTGTGCCGAGGTCTTCCAGCGACTCTGCCATGACCACAATATCGTCAGCAACGGTAGCGATAATTAATATGGCACCGCTGGAGAGACTGCATCACTGCCCAAGTTTCGATCGAATCGAAGGCCTTCTTCTCATATTCCACGAACGTCAAGCATAGTGGCAAGTTATACTCCTTCCTTAGTCTTCTGTATAACCTGCGGCAGCTCTGCCCCAGGCAGCAAGGTTCTGGAGTGGAGGCCACGTACCGGAAAACACAGCGTTGGACGTAAGGTGAACCGACGACCTGATAAAGATAGCAGGGAGGCGCTGGATGCAGGCCTCTATCAACTTTGCGATATTATGTGGAAGTTATTGAAGGAGGCTATGTTCAGCAGTGGACGTCCTGTGGCTGAAATGATGATGATGATGATGATGATGACGCTAACTCTATTCTAGAGTATTATCGTTGATATTGTATTATCTCTTTGACTTCCACAAGCGGGTTATCACAAGAATGAGAAGTATGTGTTAATACATTTGTTCGTATAGATTTTTATCGTTAACTCGATGAAGCGACAACATTATTTTACCACCATAAAACATAGTCAATAACAAGGGATAAAGTAGGTAGAGAGTTTTTAGTATTGTCTTATTGTCTTTAAAGTTTCAAAGGATTTAATTTACTTTAAGGAACCCATCTGCGTGCGTACCTCGTGTTTTATTTCTCTATTTATTGTCCACTGTTTCAAATAAAATGTCACTAAAATACTTTATAAAAAATTTGAAATGAAAAATATACAATGGTAGGTGTTTTGTCTTTAGGTAGGTACTCGCATTAAAATGATCTTTGCAATAATATCGACTGGTTTTTGTAGATAACGCTTTCTCCCTTTTCGTTAACTTACCATTTATGTATTTCTCAACTTTTCTTAGCTTTAAAAGTATTTTTCTGGGGCACTAACCATTGTATTAGTATAAAAGGGTTATAGCCTGACCAGGAACATAAAAACCCTGGCATAGAGGCGCGTCAATTGCATTTGATAGTGCAACACTGAGTACAGTCGTACCTGTGTTAAATTAATAGGCTAACTTTATGTATCAGGATTACGGGCTAATTTGATATTTTCATAAATTAACGAAAAAATATTATTATAGGTANATTACGGACGAAAAAGTGCTATTAATTCCTATGTATTTCATTATTAAAATCATTTAATTTGATTGTAAAATTGGGACTCAGATCTTAGTAATTCATAATGTACTTTATATTAATAGTTAAATATGCGTGTAAATTGACTATTTATAAGAGCAATTTTAATATCCTAGATAACTTTAACGAAACAAGTTAGTGATATCTACAAACATTTTTCGCAAAAGTCCCACCTAAATAAACATTTTTGCACTTAGCAGCAGATTTTTTATGATTCAAATAAAAATGTCCTGTGTGGCAGTTTCTTGTCGAACACCCATTGAATGTTATGTCCCTTAATGACGGTGATTACTTCTAAATTTATTGAAAATGTCCAACTGCATGTAAAAAGTAGGCGCCTTACGCTGCGTAATGAAGGTATAATAATTGGTCTACGACGCGGCTGTTCAAAGAAAATGGAATGTAGTTTTTGCTGGATAACGATTTTCAAACGAAAGTTGTAATGAGATTTTTATAAGGACTTAAGAGTAATACTTTTACTGAAGAAATGAAATGCAGATACAAAAGCGAACTAAGTCAGACTTAAAAGAATGTAGATTACCTATAGGTGTAGGTAGGTACTTCATTAATTACATTTAATTTGGACTATAAAAAATACTTGTTTTACTTTTATGAGAATAAACTGGCTTTTTAGCGTTTTCTGCTGAAACAATATTATTTATATTGTTTCAGCAGAAAACGCTAAAAAGCCAGTTTATTCTCATAAAAGCAAAACCATTACAACGGAAATCAAATGCTTTTTAAATTGTAAATAGACTCAATAATGAAGACCTACGAATTAAATAATAATCTATTTATCATTGTATAATATACATGTAGAGTCTACATCGCTGTAGAGTTGTAGATGCATGTACAGTCTACGTTTAAAAATGGTGGTTTTATATTAGCTGTGTTGTGTTGGTGTTAGAGCTTAATGAATTGCATCGGCTCGTCGTGGCAACCATTAGCGCTGTAAATAAATTGTTAAGTGCAATGAACGAGTAATTTGAACAATTTGTGGGAGTTCTCATGGGTATGGCACAAAATAACGCGTGTGGCGGAAAACTTAAGAAAAGAAAGGAATATAAAATATAAAACAGGTATATAATAATGCAAACGAACTTAAGTTTATATTATGTATCACATTCGTATACTTATTAGTAAGAGAAAAGTTTCTTGACTTCAACCTAGAGATTATGTTCATGTGTTAACGACTGAATAAGTTTCTTGATGTTGAAGAGCAAGGCCGTGAAATGCTCGTAGGCGTAAGATATGGTCAATTAAATACCTCAATATATTAATAATACCTTTACACGTTACTCATATCGAAATCCCGTGGAAACATTATTTTTCTGACAGTGTCATTCTAGACCCTTTTTCAAATCATTCTATTACTGACGGGACGGGACTTTACTAAGAGTGCTTAGGTTTTTGATTGACTTTCACACTACAAACTTATTAAAAATAGTAAAGCTATAGACGCTAATCGCTTGTAACTTACATGTCGCATAGCATGCGCGGGCGCAATAGTTGTCGCGCGCCGGTCGTTAGCCGCGCAGGCCCGCCGCTCTGCGTCATACTAATCAGTACTCATAGATCATTGTTTACTAAACAAGAAGGCACAGAAGTTAAATGCAGTGGGATTATTCTACTGTAAATTATTTTCTTTCTAAGACTTGACTGTGACCATGACTTGACTGAAAATTCCTATTTCACTCCAGAACTTGACAAAGGTCTCCCCTAGATTTATCTTTGTGACTTAGTCTTTTCAATTCATTCGCATGATCTTCCAATTCGAAAAAATAACTTTATCTTAAAATAAGATGTAAATTAATAGCTCCACCCTTATAAGACTCAAGGAATACCATGTTCATTTTAAAAGAAGAAAAAGTGTTAAGCTTATTACCGGATTCCAAGCTCCATGACCATTACAGGAGTACAAGCAATAAAAATCCAAAAATATTGCTTCAAAATGACAGCTGGAGAGCAGTACTAGAAAAAGAACAAATTCTTATTAGAATTTGGTTTCGAGCGGCGTGTCCGATCCTTAATTACAATTTCTAAGTAATAACTAAACTTTTTGGAATCCTTAAAGATATTGTGCTTTTACACCTACCGACTTACTTACAGATATTTTACAATTCAATGAAAATGTTCATTTATTTGTTTCAGGCCCTGTTTTCACCAATGTAGAGGATAGAAGACGAAAGGAGATTCTCAGTATTTATAAAACCTATATAAAAAAATCTATAAAGACGTAAATTATTACCGAAAGTTATTGTACCTACTTTATTCATTTTGTCTTTGAAAAGAACTGAGTTTTATTTTCTTTTAGAAAAGTATTCAGTTTTATTTTCTTTTATTTGACCATCAACTTTATGTACGTATTGTGTAAATGCCTCTTCAAGTCACTCCTCTGCATCCTTCAAACCTCCTACCTCTACCATTAAACCAAACCGAAGTTATTCAAAATAAACCACGATGTTAACGAGAGGCTCACAAATGAGAGTGATTATCACCTCCCTCTTGAATGGCTCCCTCCTCATTAGAGGGCTTCGGAGGGCTTATAACAAAAACTTGATAGAACTATCTCCTTTATGGGAGATGCACAGATAAAGTTTTTTTAGAAATAAGTTTTCATGTCATTAGCTTCGACAAAGAAGAGTAACATTTTGATCCTTTTCACTCTCAGTTTGGTCCTACCAAAAGCCTACGTACAAGTTTGTAAGGAAATAAAACGAGAAATTCAGTAACAAACATATAATAAACTTAACAATAATTTAAAAAAGTAGGTATTCTATCACGTTATAAAATATTACTTACGATTTAATCACATCTCGTATTACAATGCAAAATTCACCTGATCTCTTTTTTCACCACATTCAAAATGAGTTTACCTGCTATTCGGTTAATTGTTCACAACCCCTAAAATTATACGCCCCTACGTTCTCTCTCCCTTAACACTTCAAAAAGTTCCCCTTAAAAATCCCTTTCCCTGCTATATTCAACCTTACCTCTCAAGCAATAAGAGTTACAGTAACAATAAAGGTGTTCTACAACTGCAAGTTCTATATTGGTTTTAAATCATACAGTTTGGTGATGCAACAAGTGTAAAAGCAACAAAAGGGGCGATTAGGGGTGATTTATACATGGCTTTTATTTCCACCCCCAATTTCTATTTGGAGACGTCGTAACTGAATTTCCCACACTTCGGATTGTGAAGGTGGCTGAGATTACGCAACCGGTGAGGGGTATGAAAAGGTGTTTTGTAATCAACCATGAACATTGATTTATGTTTGTCATGCGAAAATAGCTCAATAGACTTTGGTTTTTAATTTGAAGCTTTTTTCATAAAGCTTAAGAACACAATTTAAAAACTATCGTAAATTCTATATTTATGGATACACTTCTGGTGTGCAATAATAAATCGCAAATAACTTAACAGTGTATGTATCTATAATTATAAATCGGTTCATAATTGGCGGAGTTATTGCGTAACAAACATAGAAAAAAAAAAAAAACATACGGGTCGAATTGAGAACCTCCTCCTTTTTTGAAGTCGGTTGAAAATACATAATATATCTGCATAAAGAATAACAAAATGCGGTTTAGTATTACAAACTATTAATATTATACAATATTCAATTATGTTCATACAAATACCTACAATTAAAATAAACTTCAGCAGTCATAGTAGATAACAGTCCCTAAAATTATTCAAAAACTAAATACTTTTCACAATAATAAGGCACGCCAAGGTACAGGTAAGCTGACGTTTTTAAACCAATTTTTCAAAATCACCTGACATGTGATCAATAGGCAAAAAAATCAAAGCCGTTTGACCCCAAATTCCCGTAGCAAGTGCAGTCACAAACAATAGTACCCCTCGTACCCCTGGCTAGGGTCCCATCAACCCCAGGGCAATCTCTCCCACGCACACTTGTCACGCCATGGGGCACAAAGCTTCACTTTTTAAATGACGCAATCTTCCTCAGGTGGATCCTATTGACCAGCCATTGTTGCAGTTTTTGCATCTTCAAATCGTGGGAACAGTCTTCAAGGCGGTGACAAACGATCCTGAAAAAAGCCAAATATAGTTGAGGGTTTATGTTAAAGAGGCTGTGGAAAATCACAAGGTATTGTTATCGAAAAGTCCTTTTTAAATATTTTACACAAATATTACTTCGGACGTAAGCAGAATATGGAAGTAATCAATCTTATAAACGAACCTTTTGGTAATATCCATCCTTTTTCCATATTAATTCTAATTGCTTAGTAATTAACAGTAAAAACTCATTGCATGGGTGCCTCAGGCTAGGCGAAATTACGAAGTAATTATGCCTGCATCAAATAACTGTAAAAAAAACAAAACCTATTGTAAGCCCAACAGGCCATTATTCAAACCACCAATTAACCAAATTCACTGCCCACCGCTACTTTCCCAAATCCAACTCATTCAAACGCTCGATTGCAGTCATCATTACCCCAAAATGAAAATTCAACCCCTAACAATGCTCCCTAATAACCCCAAAATGGCTCTAATAGACATTTAATTATAGACCTGGTCGAGTTCCACTGACCCCTTTTACACTTGTTTACATCTTCATCCCCACCCCTCAACACGGTGAGCCATCAAAACGGAATGTTTAATTCCAATACTCCATACGATTTATTGTAACAACGGGAAAGATTCACGGTTGCCATCTGTCGCCGTTCCGAATCTCGCGTCGCAGAAAAAACTCAATGTGCGAGCAACCCTGGGAACCTAGGAACGGAGAGCATTCCCACGATCAACCCCTCGATTTTCAATAACCAAATTAGCCTTTGCGTTACCCTATTTCGGATATGAGGGAGTCGTGAATCTATTCATATCGATAAAAAATATCGCGCGTCTCTTTCCTTTTGGTGCGCGATTCATATGTTCATCCCCTTCGAATGCACGTGTTCAGTGGTCGTATATTCGGTGCGCGCGTGTGCGTGCGAGAGCCTTCGGATCGCAACACCTGCCGGCGCGCGCGCACCCCATTGGCCGAGACCCGCTATCACCGCTACACTGATTTCTTTTAAACTTAATTTTTTTTAATACTCTCTTCGGACATATGATGAAAAAATCCTACAAGTTTGGACCGGTATGAGCTGGATATTTCGTGTGTAGGTGGCATTTCATTTTGTTTTATAATTCTTTTTGTAAACACTATGCTAATGAACTCGGATGTGAATTATTCAAATAGTTATTGGGAGATAGAGAGAGATAGGGTTACGTTGTTGTGGTATCAGATCTGATTTTTAAGCTTCCCAAACTACAGTCAGATTCCAGACTATCTTGCAAAATAATTATCTATCGGAATTTCATAGAGACAAAATGGCACAATATAACTAATAATGACACTCGGTACAACTTTACAAATCAACTAGGTCACGCGACATGCGCGCGCGCCACACGGGTCACGCGGGGTCGAATTCACCCCACCGCTTGACTTAGTGACCCCGTAGGGACGATAACAATCGTATTGTCCCATTACTAGGGGTAATGAACAACATGTGGTGTGTTTACCCACAGGCGTGTGGACGGCACGTGGACTGTGTTCCCATGAAACACAAATACACACTTGTTGAGATAAACCACTGATCTAGATAGAAAGGCGTACCTGTAAGCTCAAAATACAAACTTAAACAGCCCATTACAGTTATTCTGTACTTTCTAGCGTTTAACTGTTCCATTAATTGGCATCAATTGATAAAGCCTTATCGAGTATAGCCGAGCCATTAAAATCTATAATGAAAGCACATTTATTTTAAAGCGTCCATAGCACTCATTTCAAAGCAATGCAATATCGTACCAATAAAATTATAGTTTGCGGATTAATACGATTTTGCAAATAGATTAAATTAATTGATACGAGCTACACAGCTATCAATATCTTACAATTTATCTATCAACCTCTTTCAGTAATTATTAAGTCCTACCTACCTAATGGGTCAAAATTATTATGATGAAAAGTTCTAAGTGGAACTGTTTTCCCAACTCTTTACAATGTTGACAAAACATCCAAGTTATTGTCGTCCGCTAAAAGCTTTGGGGTATCGAATAATCCACTCGTACACCCACGCACACTAAGGGACTTTTTACGCGCTCTTTTGTGCCGGGGGCGGCGCGCCGGGTATAAAACCCAGCCCGGCCGAGCAGCCCCACATTCCCGCCTGTGATCTCACTTGCGACACACGCTCTCTACACTCTCAAACATGTCTTACTACGCCAACAACGAGTACATCATCGCCACAAACAACTCCATCAACGAGAACAAATACAACACCGAAAAGATGAAGAACAGCGGCATCAAGGCTCTGTTGAAGCCGCTAATGAAGATGATCAAAAAGACGACGAAGCGCGTTCCCGCCAAAACCTGCGACACGTGTTACGAGGACGAGCAAAACTCGAACAACGAGTTGTTGGAGCGCAAGATCTACTCCGAAATGGAAGCGTGCCAGCCCGGCGCCGCTTTCCTGGTCTACAACCAAGATGAAAGCTGCGACATCGTGCCAGTGAACCCGGACAACTTCTACGTGCCCGTCCACTTCGCCAGAACCGATGCTGGTACCTTCTTCTGGACCACAGTCGCCAAACAAGACGAGTTCGCCGCCGCCCACTGCTACACGGAGTGCCAAACCGCGGAACAGCAGTACCCCGCCTTCCAAGACCGCTGGGTGCAAGCCTAATCATCTGATCCAAACAACAACCCATGTCTTCCAAACTGTGTCTTCCGTGAAACCGTGCTTCCGTTGGTTTCAGCAACCGTCTGTGATGTTAGCTTTAATCTTTTGTGCCATTTAGGATAGGTTTAGCTTAGGGACTTGCTATCCTCGTGATAACTCCACGAAAGCTTTAATGTATTTTTCGAAACATGTGATATTTTGAAAATGTTGAATTGTATAAAATAAAAAGTTAGGATTAGATGTTAGTGAGCTTTATTGTGATCTTATTGTAAGCTTTAATTTTGTTAGGGATGATAAATTATGAATATTTATGAAAAGAACATTGACAAATAAAAAACCTTTTTAAAATATTTCTCTCTTTCCTTTGACATGCCCTTAGTTAAGTTACACTTACACACACACACATAGAAAGCAAGCCTTAATGAGGTTTAAACTTTAAATGCATACAAATGCATATACAGTAGTTAAACTTAAATGCCAATAAGACAAGTCGAGGTTAAATCTGACGTTGTAAAATGGCTCGGTGTTTCTGTTTAAAAAGCGGTCTGACAGGCGACGGCGCGAGCGACCGGCGCGAGCCATCCCTACCGGTTCTGGACCGGGCGAGCCGCATTCGAGTCCGCACGTGCACTGCCCACGGCGGATCTCGCTACTGGACTTTTAATTGTCGCTTTTAACCGCGCCGTTTCGATCCTCTCTTTTGATAATTACGTTTTATTTGTTCTACTGAATTGGACAGGGATTGTTATCTGATTGCCGGGGCCTAATTTGGAGTGGAATCCAGCCTCAATCAACGTTTAATCAGTTAGTCGCAAATCAGGAACGCGTGCGGAAAGTTAATACAGAATTAATGATTGCTATGTTAGCGGTTTCAAACTTGAAATAATTTAGTGTACATGCTCATGCAGTTAGAATAATCAATGTAGAGATGTTAATAATTATGATAAATGTTAGTCAGATCTAATATCAAGAATCTCAAACTAGATATTTTGGATTCCTCCCAAAAGTAAAGCTACATTTAGTTGTAATTTTGATGTTACATGCAGTTAGATCTACACTACGTTAGTTAGTAACATATTAGGCTAGGTTATTTAAGTAAGCTCGTAAAATCAGCCTTTTCCAATCAAACATAACTACCTCAAGTATGAGGTACCTATTTTCTGTAATGAATTATTTATGTACTATTTTCATTTTTGACAAATAAGCGTGTAATTTATTGACATAAAATTTCCTCCTTAATCTTACAGAAAATAATTCATGCCAAAACTAGCAACATCGAGTCATGCATAGTAGTTATTTGTTTTATTAGTCCATTAAATTTTCCAATCACCACCAATGTGAAAATCCTGAAAATCATCCCAAGGTTTTCCTCATCTTTATCTCAAAACTAAATTACTACAATGGTAAACAGTAGAGACATACCAATTATGCAATTTTAAATTAGGCGTTAGTAATTTTCATTTTCACAAAAAAGAAAAAGAGAATCCGAATAAAGACTCTACATGCAATCCGCCTTAAGATGCACTGATAAAAAACCACCTTTACGCAAACGTAAAACCACCACACCACCCCGAACAAGTCTCAACCTGTTGCCGCTACCTTCTCCAGAATCATGTCTCAACATGCTTAAAACCTTCAAGAAAAAATACATAAAGAATCGATCTCCTACGCAATGACAATAAAAATTGCCCATTCAATTATGCACGTGCATCGCTTTCTCTGCGCCACAAAATCTTTGGACATAATAGGTTTGCCTACGAACAATACCATAGTGTTACAATAAATTAAAATCATGCATTGTTAGTAGAGCTTGCAAAATACGCACAAAAGCGCGTGGAAACAATACCTGAATGTGACAAAAGTAATCATAGAAAAAATCGTGAGGATAGTGGAAAAATTTGTAGGAATACTCTTAGTACTAGCAATACGTATACGTCTCAATACTCAATACTCAATACTCAATTCTTTATTGCATCCATAATGTTACAGAGGTGGTATGTCTATACGAGATATTGAAATATAAGTTTTAAATTTAACATAAGCGAATTATTTAATTTCAGCACAAAAAATGTACCTATTTCACAAATTGTAAAAAACACATGCGCAATCAAGTTATTGTAACAAAAACATTCTACAACTGTTTTACCATAGCTCTAATTGTAACAAACCCTTTCCAATTAAAAAATCGTAAAACAGTCATATTGCATTCAACTAAAGAACCGCAAGCAAACATAAAACTGCTCTACGCAGCGTCGCCAAACCAAAACAAGATATGCTAATAAAGCGCCATTGATTAAAAATTATATCCTCGCAAGTCCCGCTAGGCTGCAATTATCGGCAGCTATAATGCGCGGGTACTAGCAAATTCGCTCGGCGTTAACCATACTCGTAGTCGTCGATCCGACCCGTGAGAAATTTCGGCAGATGTACAATTCTTGACGGCACGACGAGTGTACGCTTATGTTTTTTTTTCTCAGCCAGTAATAATACTCGGCGTATCGCCGCGACTCGCTCTTCGTGACTCATCGACGTATTGTTACCTGCACGTGTACTCGGACTTTCGGGTTAGAAAAGAGTTTTTGCAACCCTTATTTCGGATTCCGCAACTCTTGCAAATTCACAACTTTTTTTTGGACTAATTTCGTGCAATTCCTATTGTCCGAACACGTGCATGGGACCAACGGCCAGGTAGAGTTAAGCGCACGCACATGATCTATGGCTAATTGAAGTTACGGCGTGATTTAATTAGTTTTCTTAAATTGAGGGTAGGTACCGATCGATGGTGCGCTCGATAAAAGTCATTACGGCTGTATCGAGCGGTTCACGCGTTTATCTCTGGAAGCGTTTATTGCGCAATTATTACTCGGATTAATAACTGACCACTGTCCGGTTACGAAATAGATAGTAATTGATTGCCTTAATCTTCGGTTAATTTAATTATGTTGGAAATAATTACCAACGCGTGATTAGTAGTTATTATTGTTGTTATTAATAAAAAGTCGATTATCAAGTCTTGTTGCTGTGACCATGACTAAATTAAATGTGCATTATAATTTGATGAAGTAAATCGGAGCAAGATTTTGGTAATAATTAGGTATTTTCGCATATCATAGTAAATATTATAATTCACACATTACTATCCGTTTACTACCTCAAATGAAATAATTTGGTGTGTATTATAAATCTAGTAATTATTATTTTATGACCCTCTTTCAATAAGTACTACTTGCAATGGAATGTTAATTTAGTCTTATCTTCTATTTCACCTTTGTATTATTAGTTGGTATAATTTTATTCAATAAAAGGCAGCGTGCTGCGATAAAAGCGTTAAAACAATTCAACAAGCCTTTCCAAGCATCGCCTCTACCACTGATTGTCTTTGCTCGAACCCAGCGACACTCGTCCTTGCTTGCAACCCTAACGAGGTCGTATAGAGCATAGACAACTCGACACCGCCGACACCTGTGCAAGCGATGAGTTCGGCGGTGATATCATGTGTTTGATCAGTTGACTCGAGTCAACACGCAACTTGCGTCAAACGGTGAGCTGGCTGGAGTGTTAAGGGTAAGGACGAGTGGTAGTTGAAAACAATTGAAAAGCGCGATTAGCCAGGTAAATAATTAGAATGTTACATTTAAAAGTTTACTTCTATAGATAACGCCACACATCACTTAATAAGTAATTTGAAGCATAAAGGGGCTGAAATATTACATCTGAAGTCGTGACAATTGTGTGCATTTTTTATAGGAAACATTATTTATTAATAGTAGATTTTCTCCCATCGTAGGCATCGCTCATCGCTCAGTTTATTAATTAAAAAGTATAAATGTCTTTCACCCCCTTATTACAAAAAGTTAGACTCTAGTTGAACTCTAGTTTAACGTCTCTTTAGTTGACATTTAGCATGGAAATTACATTTTATTCCATTGGTTATTCGGGGTGTAATTTTTTACCAAAATCCATATAATTAAACGGTCAACATGTTTCCACAACTTCAAGGGCATGGAAATCATTATTATAAATATTTTATACAATTCTTGTTAAATGACATAAATAAACACACATTTGTATTCTTTCATATATCATATTGAGATTATTTTTAAATAAGCATTTTAATAGGAACAACTTTTGTATCAGTACTGACAATTTAAATAAACATTACACCGGCAACTTGACTGACAGGTAAATTGTAAAACGTTGTAAGTACAAACATAATTACGTATTTTTAATTCCGAAACGAATTCTTTGACGCGCTGTTAATTCGCCTTAATTAAAATAAACTTTAGCATGAGTCATATTAAGAATAGTTGTTGACGATGGGTTCTCATTGTAAGCGATAAATTTTGTTTTAATATCAACAACACCGAATACATATGGAATGACTGTTTCTGACATTTTTGGTATGTTTGCAATGGTACTTTTAAATTAATACTGGCATAGGTTAACACTTATTTTAGCTACAGTTTTTGATAAACATATTTAACAAAGACAAATTTTGAGTTAACATTTAACTGTAACCACGAACTTTTGCTTGCGGGGTGACTGTTCTGAACACTTATCTTATCTGTTATAAATAAGATACTAATTAATTTATTAGTATCTATTTTTGTTAAATTCATTTAACATCATGTACAAAATACTTCTTGAATTTGAAACAACACTTATTTCACTATGTTGAAGCCTAGAAATCTCACAAGTTATTAGTATACTTAAAAATATTTATCAGCACTGGTACTAATTTACGACATGGAAAAATGTTAGTCCACACATTCCTTTCAAATACAATTTAACATCATCACACAAAACTTTTAAGTGTGAAATTTTCACACTCCACCGCGAGACACAATTTTGGAACACTCAAAACTTTTTATTGTCACTTAAAATACTTCACAGCACTGATTTACAAAATATGTAAGTTATTTCGTAGAACTCCCGTTACTTCCTGTTCCACTTCCCGAATGTAACTGAACTTTAAAGATAATGTGCCAAAATTTATAGATAATTCACCCTCCTATATTCCTGTCTTTCCCACGTACAATACTTACACTTTGACCTTATTGGGGCCTATTGTCTGGCAATGCATTGTATTGCTAATTCTTCCTTGTCCCCTACCTATCTCTTGCAAAGAATCTGTACGAGTAAAAGTGCAGTGATTTTTCGATAGATGGCGCTAAGGCGCTGTGTAGAGCTCTTGTAGAGTTTTAGTTTTGTTTTATTCAAAGAAGTACAAAACTTATATTTTCAGTTTATTATGATACTTACTTGTAGTTGAATCAAATAGTATAGCCGTTTACGTTTGCCAAAATTGCATAAATTTTATAATGTTTTGTAATCATGCAATCATTACGTC